AAATGGTGTTTATGGTGGACAAACTGACTATAACCAAAGTTCAGCAACAGAACATCACTTGGGTTCAGATCAGAGAGGCAGTTCCTCCCAGTCATGCCCCTGGCACATGGTTGTTATTTACAAGCCCAGCTGGAGCACCTTCCAGCACCCCCACTAAGGACTCTAGAAGACTGAATACACTGAACTCACATTCAGCGCATAGGCAAAAACAACCATCAGAGCCGGCCCCTTTACCTGAAGGCACAAGGAAGCCACCCTTTCATTTACTGGAAAATACTAGACTAAATCCAAATTGAATAATTTTTCTAATGTATCACAATGAAGCTCAAATAAAGCTTAATATTTCTAAAACCATAAATGGTACAATTACTAAAAGTCCATGGTTTACTAAATGCTATTTTTTCAGGTCCCTCTGAAGAGAGTCAACAGTTAAACATTCAGACTTCTACAATCTTCCTGCTGTGTGTTACATTAGTGACTCTGCTGTTGCTGATATTTGGACTGGTTCTCTACAGGAAACACAAAGGTACAGTTCGTTTTCTCCTGAAGTAAAGACGGTTAAGTAAGGATTAGTTTTATATGATAAGAGAATGTCAAGGAAATATTATGATTCCAATAAAAAAGGAAATTGACTTTTTTGTGGAGAACTTTAAGACCAAAACAGTGAACACAAAAAAGTTGGTCAGTAACTATAAAAATGACCCAACAAGTTTACAAAATCAAACAGACTTTTTACTTTAGTTCATGTTGATGTCTGAAACAGTCTGTTTTTAAATCTTGGGATGATAAATTATTGAGTTGYAAACATTTTGGTCAAAGTTTAAAAATGTTCTGTGATCTCAGACATTATAACATTATAACACATAAACTGTGTTGTGAATGACTCATATTACAACACAGGACTGATGCATAAAGTGTATAATGCAGAAACAATGAACAAACCAAAAGCAGAGAATATGATAATAAACTAATTAACCCAAATACCCACCTGTGCAGAGAGAACCAGAATCAGGTGCAGAGAAACATGAACTAAAAAGAGGGAAACAAAAAAGAACCAAAAACAAGAAATTGAACAGAATTCCAACAAACAAAAGTACAATGCTAATAACTCTTTGAGTTATTAGTTATTAGTTATTTGAGGAAAACTCTTTGAGTTA